AGAGGCCCAAGCACAGATCCCTGTGGGACTCCCCATGGAAGTGGAAGGAATGTAGAGGAACAATTACCCAACTGAACCTTGAAAACTCTGTTTGACAGGTATGAGCAGAACCACTGAAGTGAGGTACCCCTAAGCCCTACCCATGGCTCAAGTATATCCAACAAAATATCGTGGTCAACGGTATCAAATGCTGCAGAAAGATCTAATAGTAAGAGCAAAACAGGTGACCCAGAGTCAGGAGCCACCAGGATGTCACTGGTCACGCGAAGAAGGGCTGATTCGGTACTGTGAAGTGGCCTAAACCCGGACTGGAACACATCAACCAGAGAAAATCTATTCATATGTGCTGTAATCTGCGAATAGACAATCTTTTCAAGGACCTTAGACAAAAACGGTAATTTGGAGATTGGCCAAAAGTTTGCAAGGTTTGAGTTGTCTAAACCAGGTTTTTTTTTTTTCCAAATTGGTTGCACAACCGCCTTTTTAAAAGAAGTAGGAAACACCCCAGTAGCCAAGCTAGAGTTAAAAATGTTTAAGATGGCGGGGCCCAAAATAGGGATGATCTCACCCACCATCCTCGGGGGGAGAGGGTCCTCAGGAGAACCTGCTGGTTTCATATTTCCAATCAGATCTGACAATTCATTAAGAGATATGGGAGTAAAGTTACAGAATGAGGGAGGTTCTGGTGGTACATCAGGACAGCCAGATCCTGGTTGCACAAGACTATCCCTAATATCCCGGACTTTGTGAAGAAAGAAGGTCTGTAGCTCAGCACACAATGACACAGAGGGATCAACATTGCCAGGTTCAGTTATTGACAAGATGGAGTTGACAGTGCTATAAAGTTTATGCTGATCACTCTGGTGTTGAGAGATTATGCTTGCAAAGTATTTGTTCGTGGCTGATCTAACACTTCTCTGATACAGGTCAAGGGCATCCATCAGAAGCTGCTGTGAGATTAGTAGCTTGTCCTTTTTCCACCTTCTTTCCAGCACCGTACAACGCCGCCTGAGGCTGCATGTTTCATTGTTCAGCCAAGGATCAGAGGTGGTTTTCTTCCGTTTAAGTTTAAGGGGAGCAACTGAGTCCAGGGCAACAGAACAAGTCAAATTAAAAGTATTTAAAAGCCCATCCACATCCGTGGTGATCCCAGATGAGGAAGGATTGGATAATTCAACCTCCAGGATGGGCAGTAGTGAGGCAGTCGTGGAGGGAGAGATGTGCCTTGAGTAGCGAGAAGCCTGCCTTCTCACCACAGGCAACATGGCAGAGATGTTAAAAACGACTGAACAATGATCTGAGAAACTGACAGGGTGAACAGCCAAGTCCTGCACCTTCAGTCCAAATGATAAAACTAAATCCAGTGTGTGAGAGTGATCATGCGTAGGAACATTGACCAGTTGCTGGAGGCCAAATGAAACCAGAACATCTGAGAAATCTCTCACCAGAGGATTCGACAGACAACAAACGTGAATATTAAAATCACCAAGGATAATACCTTGGTCGTACCAGGGGAGATATTCAGCTAAAAAGTCACACAAATCAGTCTAAATGTGTGATAGTGAGCACCTGTGCTTTGCTGAGATAATCCATCCCACCTCACATGTGTGCCACATCAAGATGCTGATCTGACATCATGAGTAGTGCATAGGTGTACCTTAGACTGCCCACAATAAAAGGCCACCCTGGAATGTGCAGTTTTTTGCTTTATTGGGGGTCTGGGGACTCAGAAACGGTCAGTATCTGGTGTGACCACCATTTGCCTCATGCAGTGCAACACATCTTCTTCGCATAGAGTTTATCAGATTGTCAATTGTGGCCTGTGGAATGTTGGTCCACTCCACTTCAATGGCTGTGCGAAGTTGTTGGATATTAGTGGGAACTGGTACACACTGTCATATACGCCAGTCAAGCACATCCCAAATCTGCTCAATGGGTGACATGTCCGGTGAGTATGCTGGCCATGCAAGAACTGGGACATTTTCAGCTTCCAAGAATTGTGTACAGATCCTTGCAACATGGGGCCGTGCATTATCTTGCTGAAACATGAGGTGATGTTCATGGATGTATGGCACAACAATGGACCTCAGGATCTCAACACAATATCTCTGTGCATTCAAATTGCCATCAATAAAATGCACCTGTGTTCTTCATCCATAACAGATGCCTGCCCATACCATAACCGCACCACCACCATGGGCCACTCGATCCACAACATTGACATCAGCAAAACACTCACCCACACGACGCCACAGACGCTGTCCACCATCTGCCCTGAACAATGTAAACCGAGATTCATCCGTGAAGAGAACACCTCTCCAGCGTGCCAGACGCCATCGAATGTGAGCATTTGCCCACTCAAGTCTGTTACGGCGACAAGCTGGAGTCAGGTCAAGATCCCGATGAGGTCGACGAGCATGCAGTTGAGCTTCCCTGAGATGGTTTCTGACAGTTTGTGCAGAAATTGTGTGGTTATGCAAACCAATTGTTTCAGCAGCTGTCTGAGTGGCTGGTCTCAGACAATCTTAGAGGTGAACCTGCTGGATGTGGAGGTCCTGGGCTGGTGTGGTTACACGTTGTTTGCGGTTGTGAGGCCGGTTGGATGTACTGCCATATTCTCTGAAATGCCTTTGGAGACGGCTTATGGTGGAGAAATGAGCATTCAATGCACAAGTAACAGATCTGGTTGACATTCCTGCTGTCAGCATGCCAATTGCACACTCCCTCAATGGTTGTGGCATCTGTGGCATTTTGCTGTGAGACAAAACTGCACATTCCAGGGTGGCCTTTTATTGTGGGCAGTCTAAGGTACACCTGTGTTCAACTCATGATGTCAGATCAGCATCTTGATGTGGCACATCTGTGAGGTGGGATGGATTATCTCAGCAAAGCACAGGTGCTCACTATCACACATTTAGACTGATTTGTGAACAATGTTTGAGAGAAATCGTGATATTGTGTATCTGGAATGAATTTTAGATCTTTAAGTCCATCTCTTGAAAAATGGGAGACAAAACAAAAGTGTTGCGTTTATATTTTTGTTCAGTGTAATTTGGTATATAAGTCGCTCCGGAGTATTGGTCGCAGGACCGGCCAGACTATAAAAAAAAGTGCCACTTATAGTCTGGAAAATATGGTAATGAATGATTGTTTTTGTTATTTTTACAGGTATATTTTTAAATGTAAAATTTCAAATTTCTAATCATTTGGCATTCTTGTTTGAGCAGATCCGAAGACGTCCAACACACGAACCGCAGTCAGTGTGAATGGCAGTCGGAAATGGCACCGCCTCCGTACTGCAATCGGTGTTAAACAGGATTTGGACATGGCCTGGATTATCTTGTTTACCGTTATCCTAGGTCCAGCAGCAATCATATGAATAATGCCAAAGTTACAGTGACCCAGAAGTGATTCAGCTGACTAAAGAGTCAGGACGAGTCAAGCCGGGGGTCCGTGGAATAAACCCCTATTCACAGGTTTTCTGTCTGTGAAATCCTGTGAGGAGGGGAAGCTGGCTGAAACTCTACACAAACATGGTTCAAATCCTGCTATCGCACACACACGTTCACTAAGTGGTGGTTGGGGACTCACCTCCCAATGACCCATGCAGCAAAGTATGCTGACCTTTGACCCCTCTCATTATCTGTCCAGACACTGAGGTCTGGACTGAGGGTGATAACCTCCGAACCCTGACTTTTAGCCCAGAGCCAGAGCTGTGCGAGGACTTTCCCGTGAGTGTCTGAATCAGTGCGTTTGTAAGCTGGAGACTGGTGAGGGGTGGGGGACAGGGAGCACTTAAGGGGAAACATATTTTAGATATTGTGGTGAGTGAAAGACAAAAAAATGTAGCTCTCATATAAGCAACCATGCCAAGAAAGGCTCCCACTCAGCAAAAGGTCAGCTCTGTTTTTCCTTCAGACTAGTTGACTCAAATAGGATTTGTCTTCCCAGTCGCAGCAAACTGTGTGGGGAAGATTCCTTCAACATATCCATCTCTCTCTTTCTAAAATTACAAATAGTTCCCTCACTTGGCTCATATTTGGTGAGTGTGTTTTAGATTATGTGATGTGTACAGCAGCCGATCCCTTACATCCATCCATCAATTCTTTCATCTATGCAGTTTTGGACTCTCTTACTTGTTTAAAGCTGCATGGAGCTCATCTCCATCTTCTGCGGTCCCCAGTCCATCACAGGGTAATTGCAGAGACATGTGCAACAGACAACCATGCATGCACACCAAAGGACAAAATAAAATCAGGACACCTGGAGAAAATCGGCATTGGGCTGGGGAGAACGTGCAAATTCAACACAAAAAGGTTCAGGTTGAGATTCAGAGCCAGTAATTTCCTCTTATGATCAATTCACCCCAATTTTACAAGCACTTTTAAAGCTTAAAACCTTAATGGGTAAGATTTGATAATATAGAACCTCTGAAAATGACATAAAACTATTAATTGCAACACAAAACACACAATACAAGTCTCTCCTGCTCTGTTCTGGTGAACAATCCCCAAAGCTTGCATGTCAAAGCAAGCAGGGCTAAACACACTCTTGAGGAAAACTTGCATGACCATAAATTCTGAGGCACAAATAAACAGGACTTGTTGCTTCGGTTTCCCCCTCACTGTTTCACAATGTGCGGTTACCGTGCAGCTTAAGTGCCGCCTGTGTCTGTGTACTGAAGTCGCTTTTCACGCTGTTCAGCAGCTCCCGCCGCAGCGTTTACCTTTCTGCAGAGCCAAGACCACGCCTGCACCACCAAAATATACAACAGACAGAATAAAAACATTTCCCCCGGTGTAATTGCAGGGCAAACATCAGTCAGTCGGCTGGGCTTAGGATTTGCTCCGTATAAAATAGTTTCTGACAAGCTGGTCTAGAAGGGGCAAAAGGGTTATCAGTTTCACACCAACCGCTTTAGTGCTGCTAAACGTATTTGAACGATAACTACTTGACTCAGCTGTTTGAAATTAAATGAAACTTTTTCTTTGTCCTTTCAGTGTCGAATGTTTGTCCCCCGTGCGACAACGAGATGAAAGCAGACAACATAATGGAGCACTACTGCGCCAGTGACTTTGGTAAGCAGCAGTAGCAGAATTTCACATATTGAGAAATGAAACCCTGTCTTGATTTTTTTCTTTCACCCTCTGTAGCCATCAGATGTGTCATTTCACTCCTAAAACAGACTTTCAATAAATGTAGAACATGACGTGAGGCTGCAGTCCTCCAGAGCCGTGAGATCAAGCAGCAGAACTTCAAAAAACAAGTTAAAGAGCAAGTCACCCCCAGACCAACTTTTGCTTTGCTGAAACTATACAAATGATTGTCTAATCGTGTTGTAGACACATGCAGCCAATAATTTGGCGCATTATTTCATCTTAGTTTAAATTTAAACGTTCTGCCTAAGCTGTCAGTGTTGCACCCTCTTCAGTTATAATCTCTGCATTACATTTGAATTTTAATCTGCCATCACTATTGGCTAAGAGGTACCCTATGACATTGGCTGGTACATTATGATGTCACAACGCCGCTGTAAGCCTGTGTGTGTATTTGTTAGGGGCTCCGCCCTCTTGGTCTGTCAGGCAACCTTGTGATGCATTTTTCAAACAGAAAATAGGAGTGGAGTTAGACTCTGGTAGGGCTGACTTGCTCTTTAATGAAAGATTAAAGAGCAAAGTGTAAATAAGTGAACAGGAGTTTTAATAGTGGCAGTGTGTAGTTTCCTGGTTCTCGGGGGCAGTACATACATACATTTCAGTGTAGTTTTACACCAAATCGCCGTGTCTGTGGCTAGCTGAAAAAACATTACTATAAACGTTGTTACCTGTGGAGCAGAAAGCATGCAACCTTGGTGTGACTCCTCAGACTTTGATGGTCCTTCCATGTCAATTCCAGTTTTCTGGCGCTGTAGCTTTGGGATCTGTTCAGGGTCCTGCACCTGCCACTGACATCATCATACTACAGCAACACCACTTGGCCAAAATATATTGCATCTCTTCTCTGATTCTGTTCTTTCACATATGTTTTGGAAAGAGTGTAGCAGTTTTGTTATTAAATTTGTGTTTTGTACTGCCTAGATGTATTTGAATGTGGTAATGTAACTTCCGTAAGTCATATGTCCAGCCAATCATCTAGTGTGATGTCACCGACAGGCGTAGGACCCCGAGCTGGCCAGTAGGAAACATGGCATCCCCCAAGGACACTTGACCCACACACCATGTACTTAAGACCCAAATGTTACGGTTATATGTAACGAAGACCCCAAACTTTTTTCAACCATTGGACATAATTTTATTCATTTTCAGCAACAATTGGATGGATATTTCCAGAGATGAACAGTAAAAACCACACATTATCTTTTTAAAGGGGTCATATTATGCAAAGCTCACCTTTTGCATCTTTTTGTGTTGTCATGTGAGTCCCTACTGCCTCTAGAAACACTCCAAATGTGGGGGGAGAAAATCAGACCATATAAACATTTATACACCCATGACTGAAGGAAGACATGCAGCAAACTTTTAATTTGTGAAATGGAAAATGCAGGAAATGTTGATTTAGAGGTGGCGACTGCATGAAGAGGGGAAGATGAATGAGGGACAAATGTTTCCATGTTGAAAAGTCTTGTGTTTATATAAACCAAGTAAATACAATATTGTTGACCAGAGACATGACTCCAATGGTGGCAGGCTACCCCCAGAAAAGTGCAATGTCCTCTGTTGTGCTGGTGGGGAATCACTTTGCGAAGTTTGAAGACAAAATGTCTCTGTCGATGTGAGTGCTTAACTCCGCACTCGAGCTCACAGAGATATACAAATCAGGCTAAAAACAAGTAGTTTCAGAATGTTCCCATTTGTGATGTCACAAAAGTAACTTCATGCAAAGAATTTCATGAACGTGTTTTGTATCGAACCATTTTAACTCGAGAAAAAAAAGTCCTAATAAAAATCTCTTTTGGCCAAGCTCAATGAGAAACCGTTCATTTGTATTTTTGAAATTTGATCATCCATCCATCCATCCATCCATCCATCCATCAATCCATCCATTCATCCATCAATCCATCCATCCATTTTCAGCCGAAACTTGGACTTTTATTATATCTGAAAATAAAAAAAAACACTGAAAGTGATCTTTTATTCTACTGGCAGTATTTGTAGACATTAGCCCATATTAATTAGCATGCCTCCTCCTTCACCTTTTTAAATCTCATGAACTGATGATGTAACTAACTGGAATCATGTCCCTGCTCTATTGTCTCAACAATGTCCTGAAGTCAGAATAAAATCATTCAATTTTTTCTGCTCATAAAGCCTTTTGACACATAATAATTCACTCCAGCTGCTTTTATACTTTCCATTTTCTTTTGTCATGAGTGTTTTGGCAACAAAGTAAAAAAAAAAAAAACAACAACCAACAAATAGGCATTCGGTTAGGTAATACATCAGGATTAACCACACCCAAAACTGGTCTCGGTACACTGAGCATGACCCATTATGGATAACGCCTCCCAGCACATCCAGCAAAAACAAGACATTCTCACACTCTGAGCTGCAGCCGAGATTAAAGCTCATCCTCCATAATTATTCATAACATTAATCACATTTTTATGTAGTTGACTGCACACATCTCAGAGGCTGTTTCAGTTTTAGAAACTCTTACATTACTCTTGATCCATCCATCCATCCATCCATCCATTCTCCTCCACTTATTTGGAGAAGGGTTGCGGGGGCAGCAGCCTAAGCAGAGAGGCCCAGACTTTCCTCTCCCCATCCTCTTGGGCCAGCTCCTCCGGGGGATTCCCAAGGCATTCCCTGGTCCTGAGAAACATAGTCCCTTCAGCATGTCCTGGGTCTTCCTTTAGATCTTCTTTCGGTTGGCCGTGCCCAGAAAACCTCAGCAAGGAGGTTTCCTAACTAGATGCCAGAACAACCCATATTGGCTCCTCTCGACCAGTGGAAGACCAGCGGGTCTACTCCCAGCCCCTCCCGGATGACTAAGGGAGGGCACAGACACCCTGCAGAGAAAACTCATTTTGGCCACTTGTATCCACAATCTCGTTCTATCGGTCACTACCCAAAAGCTTGTGACCATAGGTGAGGGTAGGAGAGCTTCGCCTCCCAGCTCAGCGCTCTCATCACCACAACAGACTGGTACAATGCCCACAGCACTGCAGAATCAGCACCAATCCTACCGATCTCGTGCTCCGTCTTTCCGTCACTCGTGAACAAGACCTCGAGATACTTAAACTCCTCCACTTGGGGCAGGACCTCATCCCTGACCTGGAGAAGATATTCTACCTTTTTATAACTAAAGACCACGGACCATGGCAAAACGAATAACTATTAACATATTTAGGCATGGGCTCCTTATGAATGCTGCCCTGTCCATTTTTGGAAACCTGTTTACCCTCAAAGCTTTCTTGTCCTTCGGTTACAGTCTGCTGCAGATGCACTTAACAACCCTTGTTTTCCCATCCAGCAGCAGTACACATACAGAAATGAGGGTTGGGATTTTAGTCGACACAAGCAAGTAAAACTGGATGGTGAGAGAGGTGTCCTGCTTTAGCCTAAAGAAAACCTGGTTCTCCTCAAAATGACAGCACACTTTTCTGTGCTAACAAAGAGGGAGTGAGTTTAGCGTGACGACCGTGGGCTTGGCTTGTCTCAGAGATGCTGGCCAGGCTGCCCTGCAGGCATCTCTGTGTTACTTCTAACTAAATGTGACTGAACATGGGTGGGCATGCAGAGTGACATGAAAAAGGAAAGGTGGCTCTTTTATTATTACTAAACACATGTTTTTACATGAATGTGGTCATTCATTAAAAAAATCACACGCGAGTTCAGGCCCAGAGACACGCAGGTAGAACACAAACCTTCTAGTGAAGGAGCAGGAAAGCAAAAAAACATATCTGAATGTGGAAGAAGGTCTTTTATGCAACTGTAAACAAACAGGAGTGAAGTCATGGAGGTCGTCCGTATGGTGACTGGGGATTTATTTCCTGTCATCCAGAAAATCATCAATTAACCTTTTATATTAAATCTTTCTCTACAGATGTGATTGAGTCTCGTGACTTCATCTTGAGTCACGATTTGGATCAAACATGACTTAAAGAAAAGATAATAACAAAACATGACACGTGTGCAAAAGACACGTAAAAAAACGCTTCAAATCAATGCAAGTTACACGAGACAGCCACTTTAAACGTGCGTTGTTAAACAACAAGTATATTCCTTGCCTTAAACTTAAAGAGCAAGTCACCCCCTACCAGAGTATTACTCCACTCCCACTTCCTGTTTGAAAAATGCAACAAATGCTGTTGCCTAGCAGATCGAGAGGGCGGAGCTGCTAACAAATACACACAAACACAGGCTCACAATGACATTGTGACATCATATGGTACCAGCTGACATCATATGACTCTTCTTAGCCATTAGCAATGGCAGATTTAAATTCAAATGCAGTGCAGAGTTTTTACCTGAAGAGGGAACAAAACTGACAGTTTTAGATAGAATGTTTAAATTTTGATTAAGATGCACTAAAGTGTCAAATTATTGACTACATGTGTCAACAGCACAATCAGACACTCATTTATATAGTTTATCAGTGAAAAAAAAGTTGATTTGGGGGTGACTTGCTCTTTAAGAGGCCTTAGTAAACAGCAAGCATGCTCCCCTGCTGCACACAAATAGCCTGATAACAATAAAGGACAAATAACATTTTCGATATCATCCTGCTCCAACAGACCTGATTCTAACTGCTGAATTATCTCATCAGCCTTTATCGGGTTCTGCAGGAGCTGCTAATTTCTTGTGTTAGTCAAATCTGCAGTGTTCAAGCAAGGAAACATCTAAAACAGGCAGAAATCCACTCACAATGCTAGCACAGCCTTGCCAATGCTACAGCAGGCTAAAAATAGCCCCATGTAGCATAAGGTTGAACGCTTCGGTAATCACTAATACACAGAAAATAAGTCAATTTCTGTTCTTCCTCCTCCTCTTCCACAGTTAGCTTGCAGTTTTCAGACTAAAGCCTGATTTATGCTTCTCCGTCTGCGTCAGTGCGGAGCACACGCAACTCCATTATCCGTCCTTGCATAGGGATCCGGCAGGCACGCCCGTACGTACAGAGTCGAGCCCACTTTTTTAAACATCCGTCGAACGAAACGGATTACGCAAGCTTGTGATTGGTCAGGACGCCGCTGTTGTTTACAGCGCCGCCATTGCAAAGAGAGCCGAGGATAACTAGCGGCAGACACGGAGAAGCTTGAAGAATACCTCGCGAAAAAACTCTAAAAATATGAACGTTTCATCCTCCCGTGACTGGAGGAGTGAAAAGACGCGCAGCAAGCATTTTATTTGTGGACGGAAATGACAGGAAACGTGGGTTTAGAGGTGGGAAGCGCATGAAGAGGTGGGAGAATGAGAGACAAATATGTCCGTGTTAAAAGTCTCTTATATACACAAAAAACAATATAAACACACTATCTTGGACAGATACATGACAGGATACCACAGAACAGCGCTACACCCTCTGTGGTCCTGCCGGGCAATTGCTTTGCAACACTCTCCAGGAGACGGAGAAGTAAAAGAGCAAAACGCTTCCGTCAATCCGTGCGCGTCTGTCCCTTGCGGAGCTGACGGAGAAGCATAAACCAGGCTTTACATTAATTAAGTACTGGTCGAGTTAGCATTCAAGCTAGGTTTGCGTGCTAAGTTGACTGTGTCAGTGTGTCACTTTGCAGTGCATACTGGGGACTTCCTCTTGTGGACACGCAATAATATTGATCAACTCTCTGGACTTCCATAAATTATTCATTTAGCTGTAGAGGCCATGGATGGGACATGGAAGTAGGTGAGATTATGAAAAATTACTCGTAGATCTGATTGGAAATGTCGGCATTGAAGTTACTTAAGACATTTTAATTACATACCCCAGCTTTGACCCTCATTGTCTTATGACTTAAGATGGTAGTAAATGAAAGTGGTGCCTGAGGATTAAATAGACTGGAAACCAGTTTTACATACTTTTCATTCACACATGCACACACTCAAAATAAAGCAGTCCTGCAAAAGTTGGGTCTCTTCCATGTTTGACTTGTTGTACAACGCTCCAGGCAAAAAGCTGGTAATCCTCACAACATTACTGGGTTTTATCACGATGGTAAAGGCCCAGAAGAAGCTTATTACAAAAGAGGAATGTTTGCCAAGTGCTTCTGAAATTTTAAAAACGCTCTTCAAAAACAATAAGGAGCAAAACGTCACAAGTAATAAGGATTCAAAACAATGAGTGACAAATTTAAAGCATCTTGGTGTTAAGATAAGTTTAATATAATTAATATGAATCTCAGTTTTTAACATCTTTTATTTCTCCTTCAGCCCTCAAGATGAAAATCAAGGAGGTGAAAAAGGAAAAAGGTGACAGGAAACTGATTGCGGCACAAAAGAAGAAGAAGGTTTTGAAGCAGGGTGTGCTCAGGAAGAAAGACCTAAAGAAACTGACCCTGTACATAAAGAACGGGGCTAACTGTCCGTGCTCCCAGCTGGAGAACCTGGGCTCCAACTTCCTCATCATGGGTCGCAAGGTGGACCAGCAGCTGCTGCTCATGTCTATTCACAAGTGGGACAAGAAGAGCAAGGAGCTCAAGTTTGCCATCAAGTACATGAAGTCTCATCAGTGTCCCACCTACCACTCTGTCTTCCAGTGACACAGCTCGCTGCAGCATTTACAGGAATCTTTCCCACAATCCACCTTGTTTCAAAATGACAAGTTTTCATCGGTTTTAGTGGAAATCAGACGGTCACCAGCACCTCCTCCCTCACATAGTCACAAATTAAATCAGTACATTTTCTAAAACTGCATATTGATGCACCTCGTTAAACTAAAAACTAAATCATTCCTTTGTTTTTATATAGCAGAACCAGTTAAACTGTATCTTACAAAAAAATGTTGTACAATTCAAGCTAAAAATAAGATGATTGTAATGAAAGTGAAACTATCAGGAAGCAATGTGTCAAAAAGAGAAAGGTAACAGCAGAAAACGAATGATTCACCTAACATTCTGTTTCATAATGTAAAAAGTAGAAAATGCAGATGAAATGTAGACGGTTAGAATTTTGTTTTCCTGTTTTGAATCCCTGCTGAGGAAGAAAGCCGAAGGAATTAAGAGACTGATGCAGCGACCTTTTTGTGGCCTTAAAAGAGAAAATGTGTTTGGTTGTCAGAACAAGAAGGAAGTTAAAGCAGAGAAGAATCTTCCGGAAAACGAGAAACGAATGAAAGAATCAGAATGAGACAGAGACTCTGGACACAACCAACACAGTTGGATTATGAAGCCTCTGGTACTTCGCTAGTTTTGGTGTTTTTTTGGTGGATTTTTTTGTACCTAAATTCTTAAATTTGCTACAGTTAAACTTTTATGGCATGAAAGCAGAAATTTTGCAAACAGACATAGCACAAGGATACACTGTTGCTGTAGCCATGAAATACGAACATTTAAATTCAACAGTATTGTTTAATCCATTAACCTGTAAGTAGTTCTGTTGCAGAAATACATGAAAATTAATAAATAAAATATATTTGAAAGTTTTATAAAGAATACCGCTAACATTCTTTTTGTTTTTACCCATGAACATTGTGCATGTCAACGTGAGCTTTAGACCGAACATTTTAAAACAACAAATCTTAGTTGGTGGTTGTCGGGGAGGCCGGTGGCGCCAGTGTTTGGCAGGCCTCGCCCCAGGGCAGCTGTGGCAACATCATAGTTCATCCCCACCAGCATGTGTGTGTGAATGGGTGAATGACTGGTTGTGTTGTGAGGCACCTTGGGGGGTTGCAGAAACATAAAAATGTGATGTACAAAAACAGGCCATTCACCATAGTTGTATTGTTACATTGATGTCCCAATAAATAACACGGGCAGAATGGTTTTGGTGCACAATGAAGCTCATATGTTCATTTGATTTCGACATCTCTGATGCCACTAATCGCTCAATAGCTAATCTATTTTGTAAAACCATCTAGTTTATCTGCATTCATCGCCAGCCTAAAAGTATAGGGATGTACAATATATCGGCATCGATATCGGCCGATGTTGGTCATTTTTTAACAAATCGGTCCGATAAATAAAACGGGGCAGATATTAACAACCGATATTTTTTCCATCTTGTCTTCATTTGTTTATTGGTTTCAGAGGGTGAGGGGGGTGATGTGTATTTGTTTAGTCATGCGACAGTAAATGTAATCATCTCAGAAGTGTAAATGTGTGTGGTGTGTGTACATATTGTAAATTCAGCTTTACTACTTGTCATCCTATACAAAATCTGCTGATTTTAGAAGCATTAATGTTTATCGGCCATAATATCGGTATCTGCTCAAAAATCTTATAACGGCGCATCACTAGTAACAATAGATAGTTTTTTTTTAACTTTAAGATAGAGCTTTCACATTGATCTCAGTGATTGTTGAGTTAGAAACTTGCCCAGTTTCATATCTTACACCACGCTGCAGCCCTCTGCTGGCCAAAAAACCACTTGATAGTTTTGTGGAGTGGCTAGATTTCTTGGGGGGGGGGGGGGGGGGGGGGGGGTCTTTACCTGCTCAATGGCTGTTACTATGGCAAGCCAAATGAGCATTTATTCTGATATCAGGATATCAGCCAGAATTGTCATGAACATGTAAGCCATTTCTGTCCACTAGTTAACTAGTTAGCCATGTTTGTGTCAACTAGTTAAATAGTGACAGCCTAAATGTCAACTAGTTAACTAGTAAGGCCTAAATTCTCTCTAGTTAACTAGTTAAAATGTTTCATATCTTACTAGTTAACTAGTATTGCTCAGTGTGTTCACTAGTTAACTAGTGGACAGATCAATGCCCACCAGTTAACTAGTTAAAACACATTTAGTTTTTACTAGTCAACTAGTAAGGTACAAAAACTCGTACTAGCTGACTACTGAATGTAAAAATCCCACTTGTTAACTTTGCCCAATTTGGCCAGCCGCTTGAGCATTAATTCTGATATCTTGTCAACAGGTCAACTAGTTAACTAGTGAGGGTCAAACTGTACACGCTAGTTAACTAGTGAACACATTTTGACCTTCACTAGTTAACTAGTTGACACAAAAATGGCTCATTAGTTAACTAGTAAAGGCCAAAATGCATACCAGTCAGATAGTTGAAGGTATTTGTGTCTCACTAGTTAACTAGTCAGGGTCAAAATGAGCCCACCAGTTAACTAGTGGGAGACGGAAATGTTCACTAGTTAACTAGTGAACACATTTTGGCTTCACTAGTTAACTAGGTGACACAAAATGGCTCACTAGTTAACTAGTAAAGGCCAAAATGCATACCAGTCAGCTAGTTGAAGGTTTTTGTGTCTCACTAGTTAACTAGTGATGGCCAAAATGTGCACACCAGTTAACTAGTGACAGAAGAAATGCCCACTAGTTGACTAGTGAACACATTTTGGCTTCCTAGTTAACTAGGTGACACAAAAATGGCTCACTAGTTAACTAGTAAGGGCTAAAATGCATACCAGTCAGCTAGTTGAAGGTTTTTGTGTCTCACTAGTTAACTAGTGACAGTTCAAAGTGTCCACATGTTCACTGGTGAAGGCAAAACTCCTAACTAGTTAAGTAGTTGGAGTAGGGCAGTGCCACTAGTTAACTAGTGAACCATTAATGACTCACTAGCTAGCTAGTTGATTGTAACAGGCTCACTAGTTACCTAGTTGATGCATCCATTGTCCAAACTAGTTAACTAGTGAGGACATAAATGTATACTAGTAAACTAGTTCAAGCCTACATTCACACTAGCTAGCTAGTTGCACAGAATTCTAATTAGGAGGCAGAGAATTTCTCAAATTGAGGCTTTCTATTGGCTCACTATGTTAAAATAAAATATGACAACCAATCACAGTGCGGAATTTTGCAAAATCCCACCCCAAACATTTGCATGCGGCACACAAGTTAACATGCTGGCCAGAGGAACCTCAGCTAGTAAACTAGTAGTGGCTTCAGTGTGACACTTACATGTAAACTTGTGAAGGCGGAACTGCTCACTAGTTAACTAGAGAGGGTACAAATGTCCACTAGTTAACTAGTGAGGTGCAAAATAAGTGTCACTAGTTCACTAGTGGGCCCCAAAACGCCCACAAGTTAACTAGTAAGGTGTGGATATGCTCACTAGTTAACTAGTGAGGTGCAGATTTGCTCACTAGTTAACTAGTGCACCCTTAAGCGCCCACTAGTTAACTAGTAAGGTGCAAAAAAGCATCACTAGTTAACTAGTAAGGTGCAGATATGCTCACTAGTTAACTAGTGGGCCCCAAAACGCCAACTAGTTAACTAGTAGGGTGCGGATTTGCTCACTAGTTAACTAGTGAGGCGCAGATATGCTCACTAGTTAACTAGTGACGTGCGGATTTGCTTACTAGTTAACTAGTGAGGCGCAGATATGCTCACTAGTTAACTAGTGAGGTGCGGATTTGCTCACTAGTTAACTAGTGAGGTGCGGATTTGCTCACTAGTTAACTAGTGAGGTGCAGATTTGCTCACTAGTTAACTAGTGAGGTGCGGATTTGCTCACTAGTTAACTAGTGAGGTGCGGATTTGCTCACTAGTTAACTAGTGAGGTGCAGATATGCTCACTAGTTAACTAGTGAGCATATCTGCACCTCACTAGTACCTCACTAGTTAACTAGTGAGCATATCTGCACCTCATTAGTTAACTAGTGAGGTGCGGATTTGCTCACTAGTTAACTAGTTGCATCTAAAAACACATACAAGCTGACCATTTTTGTCCACTAGTTAACTAGTGGAACAATTGAAATTTCACCAGTTTACATGTGTGGCAGTGCAGCAGCTCACTAGTTAACTAGTGCCTGAAACACAAATTATGCATATTCTAATGAGAAGGCGGGCAGAAGACTCCTGTTGGGTATAAGAATCCCACCCAGTCTAAAACGTATGTGCTGTGGCCTCACAATCTGATGGGTGTCCCTGAGCGCCAAGGCTTGCACTCATTAGTCATGGTTTGACACCTACTGGTTGGTCGTTGCGGTGGGTTCGAATCCCGCAGATGGCATTCCGCAATTGCTGTAACATTATTTATTTTCTCTTTGTGTTGTAATGATCAAAGTTTTATTGTTTTACTGCTTTTATTCCCCCCTCCCAAATCAAGTAAAGCACCTCGTTTGGTGTCGTGTAAGGGAGATCAGTTGGCGAGTTCAAGTCCCATTGAGGAGAATTGGAATTTAGTGTGCCAGTAATTTTATTGTAGTTCATTTTTGTTTGGTATTGAAAGTTTGGTATTGAAAAAGGCTATATTAAAAATAATTATTGATATATATATATATATATATATATATATATATATATATATATATATCTCCATCCATCCATCCATCTTCCCAAGAAATAGATCAAATGACACTGAGGGAAAAAACTGTGGTTATTTTGGAGAGGGTGCTGGCTGCAAAACCACAAAGGCGGAGCTGCACCCCGCCCATTCACGCAAACTCAGCCTAGCCCACTGACTTCCGTTTTTGTTTTCAACTTTATCGCAAACTGACCTGACCCACATGAATTACGGCTGTTACTAGTTTACAGTCGTTAATGCTATGTTCTATACTCCAATTAAACAAGATAAATATAACTTGCTACATGACAAAGACTGAATATATCTCGAAATGAAAAGGTTTCTTTTAGCGAATATCTGCCTACAGCTGGTCTAATAAAAGTGGTGTACAACAGCACTTCAGTCTATCGAACGGCCTCTGGTAGTCTAGTGGTAAAATCGTCTGAGTTGGTTTTTGCTTTCCCCTCAGCTGATGCTGGTTCGATTCTCGGCGGGGTCATCAGCAGTCTATTTAGCCACATTCAATTTGTTTATATTTTAGTTGTAATGTTTCTTTTCAGCAAAATATTTATGTCGCTAAAAGTTCTTTGAATTTGGTCGTTCCTAAACAGCATTTTAGTTGAAACTCTGCTCACAAATGGACTCACACTGGCTAAATAAACGAATAAATAAATAAATAAATAAACACATTATATGTTAAACGGTATACCAGTAAATTGTTGTAAACATAGTACTGGCAAGTGTAGCTAGAAATGAAGAAAAGAGGTTGTAAACTACCTAAAACTTACACTACTGGGAGGCGAAACAGCATGTCAACCTGACTCCATAACCACTACACCACCACATCTGTTATAAATCAAGTGGCGTTACATGTAATTGTGCTGCCCAGTGTGTCTCTGAGATGGGATGTATGGTTTATTGGCGGTGTCTCAGTAGAAGTCATTTCAGAAATAATTTGTCAGAAAATTCACAGAATATCCAGATTTGAGAACCAAGACCAGACCCGCTTCGGGGGAGGAGACCAAATTGAAGCTGAGATGGGAGGAAAATGCATGAATGAGGCTAAAAATGGCTTTGGCGTGTTTCTTATGAGGAAATGACAATATAACATGATTAAAAGTTCCAAAAGTTAGATTTTTAATTATATGGAACCTTTACAAAAACTGTTCAATTAACTTCTCAACTCCGTCCTCAATCTCGCATTTTTTAGCTACAACACCCTCTTTGGTTCCAGAATGCTAT